CAGAAGTGTGGGTTGGAGTAAGAGAGAGAAAACATTGTCCAAGAGTTCAGGAAGAACAAAACAATAAGAAACAGAAGGGAAGACAATAGGAAGTTTAGACCAGGAGGGAAAGAAAAAAAGATGAAGTAAGAATAGCCAAAGTAATGGAGACCCCAGAGCCTGAACGCTTGCTCATTTTCTTTATGTTTTCCATTAGGTAATACATTTATTGAACAAGCATTTATCTCTTAAGCATCAGGCAAGGTTATGAGCAATGAAGAAAAGGAGTTAAAAATGACGTGATCCCTACCCAGGAAGAAATTGCAATTCAGGGGAAGCAAAATAGTAAAGCATTGGTTACATGGCAGTGGGTGATGGACTCTGCCAGAAAAAGTAGTTCATGGGAACTCGGGAGGAAATTAATTTACCTACATGATCCACGTGCTCCAGGATCTCAGATGTTTTGTTTTCAAGGATAAAAATCGAAGGAAAAAGTACGCTGAAATTAATGCATACTTGAAATTGATTTTTCTTTATTCAAGAAACACTTATCCACTAATCTAGAGAGACAATCTGTGGTTCGTCTGTTCCCACCTAGGAGCGTGGTTTGACCGATCAAGTATCTCAGCCCTGATTTCATATTAGAATCACCTGATGTGATGCCTGGATCACTTAGGTGGAACCCAAGGAATGGCATTAATTTACAAACTTCCCCAGACGATTCTAATGTGCTTCTAGAGTTGAGACTCACCAGCCCATAAATAGACTTGGACAGACTCCTGCTACAGCAGAAGCTTATCAAAGTTTTCTGGCTCAGTTCCAGATGTTATAAACAGAAACAGCCTCTGTTGGTGACACTTATATCCTGTCCTTATACTTCCCATTTATATACTGCACCATTTGGTTGAGCCCATACCACATTTGGTCTTGATGAAATTGATTTTATTTGAAAAACCTTGTTTTGAAATTTTGGCTCTTTATTATTGGGTCATACACATTGGCAGAAATGTAGCTAGCCAAACAATTCTTTTCCAAGGATATCTATTTAAAAAATTAATTAATTAATTAATTTGGACAGTGTGACATTTTCATGAGAATATAATATTCAAATAATTTATTAGTATCAATTGCAATCTCTAAGAAATGGCTAAATATAGCTACATATCAATATATTTTAAAAGAATCAAGAACAAATTAAGAACTTTTATATGAAATACATTTACATGTTATTGCTATTTAGCAGAAAACTACTACTTCAGCTTATTCTAATGCAGATTTTAACTCTTGATAGGTTTTGTAGACAATAAAGATTAACCCAAATCTTGACATCCTGTGACTTCTGTAAGCCTTTTGAATTCTGCCTGTATTATGATCTCGAGTTGGCCTTTGCAGTTTAAGGGTTGGAAACAAAACAGTTTTCAGTTGTCTACCTGCAAAACAATATCAGGAAATATTTCGAGACTAATGAGCATTGCCAAAATGCTTTCTTCTTTCTTTGTCCAGTCTCCCACAGAAAATATTGGATTCCTACCTCCTTTTCCTTTGCAGTTAGAAAAAAAGGAGCTGACAAGTCTATTGAGACAGCATTATCCCCACCCTCATAGGCTCTTAACCAGCACATGCCCTCGTGGGGGTCTGGAGCACAGGCAGCGAAGTACTTAGTCTCTCTTCTCTCTGTGTCATCTATTCAGTTTTCCAGCCTCCCCTTACTGACCAATGGGCCAAAACCAACCACAGCTCTCTATTTACCTAAAAAGGAATTAAGCTCCTTTTCCTTCTGAAATTTTTAAATATAATTTGAACAAATTATTTTCTGGGTACTATAAAGACTTACAGATACTGGAAAACTTGTTGAGTAGGGCTCATGGCTGATACAACGATGTAATATAACACCATTTATGTTACATCTACTTTATTTAAATGAAGTATAACTGAAGTATAACTGAAGTATAACAGTTATACTTCATTTAAATAAAATAGATGTAACATAAATGGTGGAAATTCTATGTTAAGAATTGTATCAAAATGTATATATAATTTAATATTAATATGTAAATATTAAATCACTATGTTGTACACTGAAACTAATATAATGTTATAGGTCAATTACATCTCCAAAATTTTTTTAAAGTTTAGAACTCTGTAAACTAATGCATAGAAACATTGTGATAAGCTTTTAAAGCATGATAAATTAATAGAGAAACAGAAGCAATGGTGGTTAGGGTGATTTATGCAGATTGCCTCATCAAAATGCTTTCTTAATCCAGGTATGCAAGCTGATGCACCAAGGATGCACATTAAGTGTAAGGGAATTCAAACATCTATGTATTAGGAGTCAACTTTTGCTAAATAGAAATAATCTAAAAGCAAATCGATAGATGAAATAAAAACAGAAAGAAGTTGTCAGAGAGAGCTGCCATGTCATTTTATTGTGCATAATAATAATTACACTTTGCAAAGGAAATTTCAAAGCAGAAGAGGAGGCATAAGTAAAAATTCATGTCCAGATACTCTAAAAGAAAAAAACAGCTGAAAGTAGACGGAAGGGTCCAAAATATAAAATTAGAACAATATAATTAAAACAGTCGTGATGAAGAAGAAAGAGAAGCTCCTACAGATACAAAAATGAATTAAACACTTTCATCTGAGTTGAAATCACAGTGCAGTCCTCTAAAATCAGCCTTCCAGTCACCAGCTATGGAAGCCATCATTATGATGAGTTTATGTCTTAAAGAGATATGTATACAATCGAGATGGTAAGTACATAGAAAAAAATAAATACAAAATAATCACATGTCGAAAAGGTAAGAATAATATTTGGAGTAAAAAGATCTTAAAAACTATGTTTAAAAAAAAAAAACAGAGGTTAAAGTGAGTGGCAAAAATAACCTTAAACCTTCATTTAGAGAAAGCTCAAGGAAAGGTAGATCTCTGCCTTTAGGATATGATATTATTTTAACAGATTACCAAGGGGGAATAGAACTCAGAAAATATTGTTTTGCTTTTACATTTTTCTATGAAGGAAGATATACTGTAAACCAGAAAACCCAGAATAATAATTGATGCTAAAAAAGAGAAAGTTAGCATAGATGAGTCTCCATGGTTTGCGTCACTACCTCCTAAATGTTTGTCTTCTGCAAAATAAGAAAAAGAAAAACAATTTAGTTGAATTTATTGTATAAAACTCCAATTTAAGAGTGTCCTTTATTCGTATACTATTTTCTTCATTTGCTCTTGAAATTTTCACATAGTTTTGTTTTTGTTTCAATGAAATATTGGTGACGATAGATGTAAGTTAGCTGTAATGTCTTTATATAACGAAATAAAAAGTAAGCAATGTTATGTTAGTTACTATTTTTAAGTTTTATTGGGTCACGAAATCTAAAAACCTGGGGTTTACTAGGTTTTTTTCAGTTTTTAAAGGTCCTTTGAATAAAGAAGAGATGCACATGATAGAAATTGAAAAGGTCCATATAACCGTGTGGCCTTTTGCCCGCCTTTGTCCTCCAGCCTCTTGTCCTCCCAATTTCCTTCCAGAAAGGCAACCACTGTAATCAATGCTGTACATAATATTGCACAAGTTATGAAGTTTGCATAAAATTGCCTGTGCTTTTTACACAAATAACAGCATACACACCTGATCTGTACCTCGCTTTTTTTTTTTTCACATAGAAACTATATACATCCCATAGCCCAGAACATTGGAACCAATATTTTCATTGTATTCTGAGTTGAAACCAAATCTAGACAGTAAAATAATTTATTGATGCGTTTGTGGAATCATTGTCAGAAGTTTCTTAAGAAATGCTGTAGGATCAAAGAGGTGTCTTAACACCAGAAAGATAAAAATGTTCACTCACTATTTCACAAAGCAGAAAAAGAATAACTTAATAACTTACAGACTGGTGAGCTTGATATCGTTTATGAGCAAAGTTTATGTTTAGACTGATGGCTCAGGCACATATTGAATATTGGGTCTCGTTATGATTGGAGAAATCATGAATTGGTATGACTGTACGCATAAAAACTTCATCAAGGTTTCTGTACTGATATACCAGAAGAATGTCAAACATCTTGTACATTTTGATTATGACTAGTTATTTGACAATATTTTTCAAGATCTGCGTTTGGGCCAGACTATGGAAGATAAGGAGGATAAAGTGTAACTCAGCTGATTGAAGTTTCATCCCAAAAAGATTAATTAGTTACTTCCTGGAGGGACTTTAAATGTTAACTTACCCAATTAGAGTGTTGCCTGTTAGTATTTTATCATTCATTACATTGATGACAAATTGAGTGTGATCTGCAAATTTATGAATAATGCCAATATGGGAGAAAAACTGAATGGTATCTTATTGGAGTCAGGTCAAAATGACCTTGACATTATGGAACAATAAACAAATTAAATAAAACTTAAATTTCAAAGGAGTTCAAAATACCAACTATCTAAGTATAGGAAAGTTGATCCAGCTTAATAATTCATATAAAGAAAACCTGGGCATTTTATGAGTTAACTGCAAATACATCATTTTTAACACGTTAGGCCCTTCCAGTTTGAAGAGTGGAACTTTATTTGGATCTAGAAATCTCCTTTTTCTCTTCTATTATTTTCCCTCTGACATTATTTCTGTTCTCCATTTCTGTAATTTCTATTAGATTTTTGTCTCTCACCTTCTCTCTTTCTCTTCCTTGGTGCCTTTTCACTCTGTGTCCATGCTATAAGCTTAGCATTCTCCTGAAACTACTCTTATGTTCCAAATAATCTTATCCTTGGATTTCCAAATATTTTTATCTTGTAAGATTTTGTAAATGCTGGAACTGCTGATAGCTTTCTAGTTCTGTTGTGGATTTTCTTCATGCATACACACACATATTTATGTTGCATGATGGGAGTTGGAGCGATAAATAGGGTAAACATTGTATTCACTGCTCTGTCTTGATCCATGAACATAAACCAATAATACCAAATGTGTTATATAATCGTATGAGC